AGAGACGTCAAAAGGTAGCCACTTTTGCCAACCTCTTGGCTTAAATTTTGCGCCGCTTGATTGGCAACTTCCGCGCGTGCACCTGACGGCATAAGTAACCCTGCAGCACTCGCGGCAGGTCGTCCCTTTTCTACAGAACCCTTTTGTTCAGAAGGTAAAAAAGACGCTGATTTTCCAGCTACTCCCATTCCAAGGCCCCCTTCTTCCATTCATAGGCAAACCCCACTGTAAGGATTCCTAAAAAGATCATGGCAGACCAAAACCCTAAAGGACCAATTTGACACAAAGAAATTGCCCAAGGGAATAAGAGAGCAACTTCTAAATCAAAAATGATAAACAGCAATGCGACTAAATAAAAACGAACATCAAAGGGAATGCGCGCTGTTTCAAAAGCTTCAAAACCACATTCATAAGGGGAGCGTTTTTTTTGATCAGGACGCTGCTTCCCACGCAAGAACGACAACAGGAAAAGGAAGGAAGACAATCCTACAGCCACCGCCATAAAAACAAAAACAGGCAAGTATTCAGTTAATAGTGTCGGCTGAAGTATCGACATATTTTCTCTTCAACATCTGCGCATCACATGAGCAGCAAGATAGCACGCTTTGCGACATCAAACCAGACAGAATAGTACGAAAAAAAATCCTCATACCCCTCGCTTAAATAGAAAGCTTAGATACATCAAAAGTTAGAATTTAAAGCTATACTGCAGCTTTCTCACATAATTTTATCGTCGAAATTTATGGTCCAATTCGGAAGGAAAAAGTCGCTACTGCACGTACTTTTTTTTCAATGCTACTTGTATCTAAGTAACCATAGTCAGAAACATCTGTAGAGTACTTAGGTGTCATTTGAAAAACTCCTTGACGAACTGACACCAAAGAACCCACACTTGAAGCCGTATGTTTCACTAAAACTCTTGCACGGTAATGAGCTTCCCTTGCAGCTCTAGAGAGGAGTTTATTCTGAATTTCGTTTCTTAATGTCTGTATAATCGTTACATTACATATTTGGTGTCCTCGGTACGACCACGTGACCGAGAGGAGTTTATTTTTAATTTTTGAAAATCCAGTATAATGATAACGTGGAGCGCCAATATGAATGTTGGCGCCTTCTTCCAATAGCGTTTTCATTTTGAGAGAGACTTTCTCAATCTTCTCAACATTACCTGAAAGCACTTCTATTGTATTAGACAATTGAACAAACTCTACTTCATTTGAGTCTCTCCAATAATCGCCTTCTCGAACCTTCTTATTAAAGATCTCTTCTACTGTAGGGCCAACTCTAACATTTGTTCCAGAATATCCATTATCAGCCAAAAAATCCAAAGTACGCTGAAGGTTTTTTTTCAGACCTAGTGCTGATTGTGAATACCCAGAGTGTCGCCCAGAACGAACTGTAATAACCCAATTTGCATAATCAGACCTAACAATTTCTTCAGCATAACCCTTGACCTGCAAAGTATCATTACTACGCTTTGACCACTTAAGCGCATCAGAAACAACAATAGAAGATAAGACGGCTCCCAATGCGAGGCTCAATCCTAAAGAAAGTCCAAAAATATAATTTTTATTCACGCAGAACCCCCTTCAAAAAAAATGGCGGGGCTCGAACCCGCGGCCTCCGGCGTGACAGGCCGGCGCTCTAACCAACTGAGCTACACCCCCAAACAAAGCAACTTTGTATATCAAGTGAATTAGTCGACTCTGACACACCTGTCAAGACATGTACGCTATTTATTTCCTTTTTTTACCTTCTCTTCACACGAAAAAATGAATCAGGTACCCTACTAAACTGCAAGAAATTGTATAAGCTAATAGCGGCATCAAACACAGCCATGCTTCTATTTTTAACAAAAAAATAAAAAAA